TCATCACTTTCAGAGACGTGTTCCACCTGTGATACCTCAAACGTTGATCACACAGAAGTTAATATGTGAGTTCATTTTACATTTGGAGTGAGAATAAACATTAACCTCCAGAGATATTCGTGGTCCAGCTCTTTACATCATATCACAATGCAAAAATAATAATTTAGTTTATTTATGTAGCACTAACACAACTGGTTTACAAAGTGCTTCACAGACACAACAGAACATACATGCAGTTTAAACACGTTAATGCAAGTGGCAACGCATAAAATAAAATAATAAAACAAATACACATCTGCTGAAAGGCAATTTAATGATAACAAATAATAAAACAGAGACAGTTCATGTTTCTCTTTCCTTTAGTTTGTTGGTAACACTAAACTCCACCAGTTAAACCAATGAGTTAGAATTTAGTGTTTTCACAAGAATCCACTAACTTTTGAGAGTTTATGTTTTACAGATAAGTAAAATGTTGTGATTTTTAATGAAGTAATGAATCTGCAGACTTCAGATCTCACAGATTAGAAGAACTGAACTTGACCCGCTGAGATATTCAGCTAGATGTCGTTCACCTCCTCACCATAGGTTTGTCTACCGATACTCGTCCAGTATTTAATTGGATGTGCACTACAATTGATTTTTACTGAAGGATGGAAAAACAACAACACTGAAACCAGATTCTGAGCCTCGGGAAAGGAAGGAAGGCTTCTGAAAGGGAGGACAAAACCATGGACTTCAAGCTGTGTGCTGTTTTTAATTAGTACATGTTCCCACATACAGTGATTACCTGCCCCTTTAAGAGTCTGTGCTCTTTGTGTCAGAGGCTCTCGCTGTATGTCCTGTTCCCCTTGGACAGACGCACAATATTGACTCATCTATTGTTGCAGCTGATTGTGTTGTGCGTGCTGACTGAACGGCTGCTGAAAGGGCGTGATTCCAGGAAACCATTCGTCGAGCTCTTCTGAGAGACTGTGAGCCTCATAACAAACCCTTTCAACAAATGAGCAGGACACTCACATGTTCCTTAGCTCTGCTCACACCTCCAACACCCGTTCCTCACACAGTTCATCATTCAGCCTTAAAAACGTGGGTTCTCGTCCCCCCACTTGTTTCGTATGATCATTTCAGGAACAGCAGGTGAAAATGGGCTGTTTGCTATTTCTCACACTGGTCCTGGTTCCACAAGGCTCTGATGTGATGTGGAAACTTCCAAGGTGTTTGTTTGGATCATGGTGTGTGTGTGTGTGTGTGTGTGTGTGTGTGTGTGTGTGTTTGGATGATTTCTGATTTCTTGTCTCCAGCTCGAGGCAGTGTTTGTTCCTGCAGAAGAGGACGTGTTGCATTATGAATGGACAAGCAGATAACCTCCGCTGCAGTCACTCAACACTGTGCAAGATGTCGTCACTCGTCCATTCGACGCAGCACAAACACGAAGACGTTCAACGAGACAAATGTGAGGGTAAGAAATTGTGTCTCACTGTTGGTTCTGAAACCTGTGAGTCACTCTGTCCTCCGAGGACGTCCGTATGTCAGTTTTCTGTCAGGGGAGGAACACAGAGTTTGGTTATTTCATCCCTGAGAGGCTGTTTTATTGTATTTACATCATGATAACACATGAGTATCCACATCCCTCCTGGTTTCTCTGGTATCAGTATTTTTGGGGGTCACAGGTAAACACACATTATCCCACAAAACTGAACTAACATCTATCAAACTATTGACAAAATATAAAAAAATCCAAAATTTGAAACAAACAAAAATCAATAAATCTGATCCGGACTCGATAAGTTGTCCATTCATCACTGAAACTTTCTTTAACTTTGCAAGATACTGTGTTTTAAATAGTTTTTACTGATTTCACGAGGAATCATTTATAGTATTTAAGGTATTGCTGAAGTACGTGTGTTCAGTTTGTTGCAGCTGGATTGAATTTCAGTTATCCAGACATGCATGAATTGAATTCCCCAACATCCTGCACGAACTGTAGCATCCACCTGAAGAGGGAATCTTTCTGGTGCATTAACTGAAGATGATGATGATGATGATGCTTCTTCATTCTCATTTGCACACAAGTACACGTACCTTGATTTGCATATTGCTGAGCAGCGTCCCACTGTTCAACAGCTGGTTGTACTGCCAGCCCCAGCCCACCTCCCCCACGTAGCTCTGCCTGGGCCTAGGAGGTGGGGCGTGGGGTGCAGGTCGGGACAAGTAGCCCAGGTCTCCTGTGGCCTCAGGTGATGACGCGCCCTCACCGATGTACCAGGGGAAATAATTCGATCTCGGCCTGTAGTCTCCAATTCCATCTGGACCTTGACAGACACAGGGGACGGTAGAGAGAGGAGACTCCTAAATACTTCATCTGAAACTTAAATCCTTTAGACGCACGTGTGTAAAGAAAGAAAGACAAAGTTTATGTTGAAGAAAATGAGGCAGAATAAAAACATGAGGCACAGAGAGGATGAGTAGAAACAAATGGATGCTCCTTTATTATCTAACTGCTTATAATGAGTAGCAGCAGTTACATAAATGAAACAGGCGTCATCAGTCCTGAGGAAATATTCATGTGTGTTTGGTCACATGACAGAGACAGACAATAACATGTATGTGTTAACCATGTAATGTGTGGGTGTCCAGTGCCACAATTTTTTATTTATATTATATTATTTCATTTTTATAACACAAATGAAAAAAAGAGCTGCTAAAAGTTAAATGCATTTACAGAATCCATTACTATAATCACACACTCACAGAATATGATCCCTTACTTGTGGCCCTGGTTACAGCGCCACCGTGTGTCCAGTTACTTTCACATTTGCTCGGAGCCGGAATAAATGTTTAGATATTATATATTATCTCAGCAAAGTAAGTGTTACAGCAACACATGACTTCAAACCAATGAGCTGTCAGGTTGATGATAACAGTCGGTGCATTTTAAAGAAATAGCCAATGGGTCGATGTTTTAATTCAAATAACTTGTCCGAACACATTTATCCTCTTACACTTGCATTAACACAATAAAAGAACAGACTCTCCTACCTGTGAAAATCATCCTTCGTCCACAGTGGGACCCTCCCTCTGCTGCTTCCCTGTCTCCCTTCATCTCCCTCGCTCTTATCTGAGAGGGTCAGTCCAGAGCTGCTTACACATAAATAATGGGAAACCTTTGGTCGATAACTTGAGCCCAGCGGTCTCCTCCGTCCATGGGGTCATGCTCGGTTGTCATGCAACAACCGGTTGTCATGGCGTCAGTGCTTGTGGCCTAGTTACAGTCTAAGAGTAAAGGGATGTTTCAGTCATTGAACCATGTCCACTTGAATTCAGTTTGTCCCAGAAACCTTCATGACACAAATCAACATGAGAGCAGAAGTGGTGCTTGTTCTCTTTTTGCAATAATATCACAATTTATTAACAAGTTGAATCAATCAACAGCATAATGTTGCTATTTTTAGATTATGTTGTGTTGCACATACCATTGTGTTTATATAGCTTTTTTATTTATTCATTGTTTTTATTAGTGTGAATGTATTTTTTTGTGATTCCCCCTGTGAGTCTCCTGGGTCTGCTTTGTTTGTCAAAGCACTTTGTGAACCATGTTTTTAAAGCTGCTACATAACTAAATAAAATAAGACTTTATATTTTTATTATATACTTATTAAAGGCCTCTATTCACATCTCCTGTCTTATTTGATTTTGTATTAATTCGAGCAGCTCTTCGTCTGTTCTCCTCTCAGCCTCTCTGCTGCTGTAACAGGAAATTTCCCCTTGTGGATCGATAACGCCTTATCTTTGCTAATCTTATCTTAGCTTCTAACAGCCTCTGCAGACACTGGGCGTTAAGTCCGTCCCTGCAGGATCTGAAGTTTTAAAGCGTTCACTGCAGCCCTGAAATATAACACAGTGGTTCAGCCAGAAGAAAAGTTCTACCAGAGAAGTGCACTGACTGGAAAAGCAAATGTATTAATCTGAAGCTTGTTCAATGAATTCAGTGAAGGAGTCTGCTGCACGTAATAATACATTTGAATGAATGTTGCATTACAATGTGCTAATATCACTAGAGTAATATTTGTTATCTACTTATATTAATTATGTGCAGATTAAATATTTAAGAATAACTAGGTTGCTGTTACACCACTGACCACACCTTGCTTTTTACTGGCTGAATACATCTACATCCCTGTTCCACAACGGGCCACTAGGTGGCGCTAGAGCACTTTTTGACTTTGCACTCACCCTCCTCGCTCCCAGGTCTTTTTCTTTTTTGTGAAATGGACTCGCCCCTTGTGACGAAATGTCTGTCAAGTCACACACACAACGACAGACAGACAGGAAATGAAGGATTTGTCCTTCAAATAAAAGAATTTGCTGAAACTGAACGATTCAGATGATTGTAAGAAAAACAATGACATCACAGCACAACAGGACAGTTAAAGAGGAACTGATCAAAATGTACAAAAAGTCGAAACACCGTGATTATGATGCATGTAGAAGATGATAGAGCTCATTGAGTCACCACAGGGTTTAATTGACCTTTTCTTAATGGATAGTTAAATTATCTATTATCTAACCATCCAACATTTTTTGTAATTATTTGCTTTGAAGCTTCTATCAGAAGATTATGTGAAATAACTACAGTACAGATAATCTAAATGTATTCTTATGTGCAATATGCAATGGTTTATATATACAGGGGTGGTTATCGGTGTTAGTTTATTTATAATAAGCTATTTCTACCTTGCTTTTATTGTAATTGAATTATTGCACTGCTGAGCTGACCTGGTTCTTCTCCTCCAGCACCTACTGTTAACTTGCACATGATGAATAAGACTGTAACATTAAATATTTCATCCTCATGGTTTGAAACTAGCTGTAAATTATATAATGTCCTGCAGAGACACGAGCATGAACAAACATGTGAAATAACCTAATTATAGCGGAGAATTGAATCTAAATGTATTGTTATGTGCAACATGCAATGCAATGCTTGTATAGGGGTGGTCAGTGGTGTAAGGTTTTATTTATTTATTTATTTTGGTCAGCTCTTTCCACCTTATTGTTATTTCTTGCAAATAAAACTTGAAAATCAGCGCATGCAATATATATTATCCTGCAGAGATATGTGAAATAACTGAGACGAATCCATCAGGGGATGTGATTCATCATGCACGACCATGTGCAGCATGCCCTGCCTGTGCACGCCACAGACACAGACACCGCCTCGACGCACCGTGTCCTCCATTGTCTGTGTGTTTCACCACTGAGACACGTCGCGGTCGCCGGAGCGTTTTGTTTTGAAAAGGACTCCAGGAAGTGTCACATTTAACTGCGGCCGACTTGACCTCCGGGAGGTGTCAGTCACCATGGTGGCGCACAACAAAGCGGAGCCGTGTTCACTTCCAGCCCCGCAGAGGGAGAACGCTTCGATCATGACCGCTCCTCAGCGACTGCTTCCCGGCTCTGCCCTCTCAACATGGACGCCAGCTTGTCGGTTGTAGCCGTTAGCCGTTAGCTCGCCTCCCCGTGTGGTTCTTCTTCTTCTTCTTCTTGTTTATTTTTTTTTCGTTCCGACGCGTTCTTTCGTTCCGTCGCCCGCAGAATGCTGAAGACACAGGGGACAAGCTCCGGAGACCGTCCGCTCGAATGAAGGGACATTTTCCACGTTGAGACAACAGTTGGTGGACACTGTCTCCGTCGCGGTTTGAGTGTTTTTAAAAAAAAAAATAAAAAAAGAAGAATCAGAAGACAAAGTAGTTTTCCAGCCTCGGTGGGGACTCGTCTCTGGCTGCCGGTTCCGGCTCGGGGCAGCGGAAAGAGCAGACACCACCCCCCCCACCACCACCACCACCCCAGAGGAGACGGCTCGGCTCGGCTGTCTGGCTCCAGTCGTGGCCTGGCTCCGGGGGACACTCCCAGCTCATCCGCTAGCATCCGGAGAACAAGGCGACGCAGCCGAGACGGCAGCTCCTCCAGGTCATAGCCGCATCCCTGGATCTGTACCAACGTGCTCCCCCCTCCCCGGGATAAGGACATTTTCAGGATCCCGCACTCGACGTCTTCCAAAACAATGGCGTCTTATGTGGATAACAGCTTTCGCCAGGCTGTGATGATGAATCCGGCCGAGAGGACGCAACAGGTCAGGGGAGATTTCTCAATGTGTTTCGCTGTTTTTAAATCAAAATGTCACTTCTGTGTTTCTTTGCCCGCAACGTCCGCTGCTACGTGAGCCGAGTGTGTGCAACAGTCCGATAGCAGCTCGGCTACATCCCGCTAAGCCCCCGTATCAGCTCGGATCATCGAGGCCACTTAACATAACAGGAGCTGCAGCCACGGTGGGACTCTAACCTCCAGCCCGGACCGTGGGTCCGTGTCCTGCTCTCTGCACACGTGTGTGTGTGTGTGTGTGTTTTTTTGCAGGAGACTGGACTTTTGCATTCTGCAGAAACGTGGAAAAGTTGCAGGGATGTTTGCATTAGAGGCTGAGACTAATCCGAAATTAGCCAGTAGCTCATACTAGCCTAACAAAGCAGACAGACACAGGAGATGCACTTTGTTCAGATCACACACAAGTGCACAGTAGAGATAAGAAGAAGAATACTGAAGCTGGGGTTTCCTGACGAGGTAGAAAAGCTAAAGTAATGATAAATATAAATTCAAATAATTGTGGTGCAATCTTGCAAAAAAGTCACGATTCAGCAACATATCGCCGATTAACGATATGCTGGCACCAAACATCGATGTTCACTCGTTTCTAAAACGGGACAGTGTTGAGTTTGAGAAAAGACACAAGAGGTCAATGATGTGTGATCTACTGAGCAGCTGTGTGGTTTTCAGAGATCTGCCAGGAGCCGGTCAGGTTCACCTGTAGCCTCAGCGTCCCCTCAAGTTCGTCCCGCGTCGTCCGTTACGAGACCAAAACGCTCGATGACACAGAGGAGGACAACTGAAGTTATGTCCCTGACACCTGCTCACGTCTACTGGTGGTCTGTAACTGAAGTTGTGCAGGAGACCCTGAAGCGTACGAGGGACAGTCAACATCTCGTATATTCTAAAATAAGATATTCGTTTAGAGAGATCGGACTTTTGAGAGTTTTTTTTGGTTTGACATTGAAATGATGGAACATGTTCATCTCCATTCACATCTGTGGAAATGATTGTTAACCTATATATCAGCTGTATCGTGATATTAGCGTAATCGCGGGCCAGCTTTGTCTCATTGGGCTTTAACAATTATACCCACAACCGTTCATGACAGAGCCAAACAGAACCTAAGGATTAGACTGTGTCTTTTAGAGTTTTCTTGTGTTTAATTACCATCGATCGAGTCGAGTTTTATTCGCTGCTGCAGATCATTATTGTTTCTGCACTGTGCCACCTCACCAGTCCAGCTGGATGTCTTCTGAACATGCAAATCCTGTGGGCTGTGGTTATTGTCCTTGAGCCACAAGCACCCGAGCACCAATATGCCCTCAGATATGATCAGCTTTGCTTCACGTGATACACCTAATAAATCCAGTTTGTCTCCTGGGATTGTATTTTTTTATTTTTATTTTTTTAATTCGTCGGAGTGCTGCCTCCGCTGCACCGGGACGCTGCTGGCTTTTACTGTAGCAGAGGCTTTAACACACAATGGACAATCAATAGACCACCACTTACACCAGTGGGCTGCAGTTAGTGGCACCGCCATCTGCCCGTTTTGTCCGACATTGAGGAAACAATTATCTGTGTCATTGATGGCTTGTTAACTGCACGGCATGAGGTCCGAGGACTCGGCGGCTTGGTGCAAGCCATGATTTGCAGGTGACCGATGCCGTCACGGTCAAGGGGGAAGAAAGATGGGGGGGGTATAGATTCTGGCTCACATCCGTAGAAGAAATGATCGTGTAAGACAGGAGCAGGCAGTGAAGTGTTCTGTCCTGGGACTTCAACAACGGATTGTTTCATGATTTATCTTTTCTTTTGGCACAAAATGGAAAAAATCTGAAATGTGTTTGGTAAAAATGTGATGTCTTCAAACAGTTTGTTTCATCTGACCTAGAGTCTAAAACTAAAATCTAAAATAACATCATACTCGAGAAAGAACTGTGGGAACATTTTACAAAAAAGAGCTTTATCATTTTTTATCAAGACAGTTTATTGATTAGTTAATTAGCAGAAACTAAAAGAATAATTTACATTTTGTTGCGGATCGAAGAATCTTTTTTCACTTTCTTTACCAAAGGTTTCACTATTGGATCTTAATGGGGGGGGAGACACGTTTAAAGCTCCTCGGTATGAGTGTGTGTAGGATTTGTTACAGCCAGATTGAATTTAAGAGTCTGTTGGGCCTGAGGGGAAGTGGTTTCCCTGCTGAGTGTCATTCTGATTTGTTTTTAATTTTCCCACTGAACGATATATTTTCAGGAGGAACTAGTTGCCAGTAGTTTTCATGATATGAAACAAGAAAGAAAGAGCTCTGCTCTTCACTGTGGGTGCGGAAGAGACCGTACTTCTGATGTAACGTGCTCCATCCTGCAAACACCTGAAAGAATTTACAGTTCGTCAGCGTGGCTTTCGGCGTCTTAGCAAAGTCTGCAGAGAGAAAATTAAATGAGGCTTGCATTGAATTATGTTCCACTTTGTTTGATGACTGTGGTCCTTCAACACTTGCAGCGTGACCCAGTGCTGAGTCAGTGCACACACATTTCATTCAGTGAGGTCTTTGACAAGTGATGAGAAAACTAGGGCAGTTTGAACAACGACTAATCCTCCACGTTTGGGAATAATGTCGTCACGGGGAAACGTGTGACATGATCACAGGATTGAGACGTCTATAAAAGTCGCATCACAAAAAAAGTCACCTTTGTTTCACGGGGAAAAAAAGCCTGTGGCCATTCTGCAGAACGTCCGGAAGATGAACCATCATAACGGAGAGGTCTTTTCTTCACATTAATCTTCATGGGGCAGAATCTCACGTGAGCCCCGGTCGCTCTTCTCCTCTGTTTTTTAACAGCAGCACCTTCCCCAGCGTTCTCTCGCCAGGCGTCCGGCGAACGTGGCGGCTGACACCGTTTATCCTAATGGTGTTGGCAGGGCCTCTCTGTCAGGATTAGCTAACGGTCAGAGGATCTGTCTTTATCGCTCAGGAACTGACCACAGTGGGATTTGACCCTCTGCCTCACCCCATTGTCACATGGGAGGTTAAATAACCGGCCACTTGACAGCTATAGTGTTCGCACCAGGCTTTGTCAGTCCGCTTCTTTCTGCACAGTTACTGGGAGGCCACTGGATATTTGACAACGGGCTGAGGAGGAGGAGGAGGTCTGAGAGGCGAGGAAGAGGGATGACACAACTCTTCTTGGGAGCGCAGCTGCATATTTCTGAAGTTGCGATAAGAATTTAGATTACGTGACACGGCTGTTTGATCAGTAATTTCCTTTTTATGTATTTGTGATAAAACGACATCCCTTTAAATTAAACTGGAGCGTTTCTCTAACACGTGGTTCTCAGAAGCTTCAGCCCAGAGGCTGTTTGGAATTGGTGATCATACGTTTATGTGATGATTTTTGCCAAATGGCAGACCAACCATTTTTAATTCCATTTTGAATTTTGTAGAAGGTTTGTCATGGTGTTTTTTTTTATCTAACAGGAGCTTCTCCTCTATCGTCTTATTATTCATTTGAGACTGACTGCAGCAGAACGGGTTATTGTCAGATGTGGAGATGACACGATGACAGTGAGTCTGCTTCAGAAGATAGATACTAGTGTGGGTTATATTTAAGGACTAATGCAGTCATGGATCATCATCATTATAAAGTTCATACTTGGGATGAACATTCTTCATTATTGTTTTGACGAATCCGTCCATAACCAATTCCATTTTCTGTTTTATTTTTTCCTACAACGTTGTTGCTGTTTATTTCTCTTGCAGTTATCACAATTGTTCAGTCTCAGCAAATTATTTTATTTTGACAGGAAGCCCATTGCACATCCTGTCTGGCTGTGATTTGTGGTCAAACATGAAAGTCACATTTGTTTGTGAGGTCACCAACTGTCTTCATTTGTATAAACCCAGCACTGCACAACTCTGAGATCCAACTATAAGTTGTTACTCATCGAGTGAAAGCACTTATGTTGTTTTTCAGCGTAGAAAGATAAGTTGAACATTCCACGCTGACCAGTTGCATGCTCAGTTCCTCGGTCTGCTCAGAACAGTCGTGTCTGTGTATATGTGTATTGAGAATCACTTGTTTATGTTCTTGAACGTTTAATGTCATTATTTTGGGCCTCAGAGGATTTGAACTGAACCAGACTCAGATGATTTGAACTGCACGCTGTGCTGCAGCATCCCTCTGTGTTATACCGAGAGCACGAAACCCGACTCTGGCACGAGGAAAGAAAGAGTGAAACCACTTTCTGTGGTCTTACAAGAATAGAAATCAACATGCACCTGGCAGAAAGAGACGTCTCTTCTCTCTTCGAGCCAGGTGGCGAAGCCAGAGGCCACAAACAACAGCCCCCCCCCCCTCTGCCGCGGGACAGGCTGCCTACTTTACATTGTTTCCACATATTCTGGACCTAATGAGGAGATGAGCACCGGGCTGCAGTGTCTGTACGTAATTTAGAGGATATTTATAACCCTGCAGTCTTGTCATGAATAAATAAGGATTAGTATCTAGATCTTAAGGAGTTTGAAGCTCCTGCTAATTCGAGAAATATTTAAAACAACTAAAATGTTGTAATGTTTTTAGGATGAGCATTGAACGTGTGCTATGTGCAAAGCAGACGCGTTAAAAAAATAAAAAAAAGAGCTGGCATGCCAACATGAACATACCATTCCTGTGCCCTGTTATTTGTCTGTTATATAACGGACAAAGGCTGCTCCTTTTTTTAAAATATTTATTGAAGCATGACATTTAGTTTAATCCTTTAAAAACGGAGCAGGATATTAGCCAAGACTCTCAGTTTATACTAGAACAAAAATAATTACAGCATGTAAGTGGTGCAGAGCTCTTAATGCATTCAGCCATATTATTTTAAACATGCAAATGCTCATGGGCATTTGTATAGATGTGTGTGTGTGATGCAAATTTAATTTTGTGTAGTACTCTATTTTAATTAAATTGAAGATTTCAGCCTATTCTCAACATTTATGCA